CAAAGAACCCAGTAGCTTCCACCATTACGACCAACCCCTTCATTGAGAGGAGCGTCCTAACTTTCCAGCAGAGAGGGTGAGTCTAATCAACGCGAGAAGACCTGCCATGTCCTGGGAGTCTGGGGAGGCACTGTGACGTCAGAGTAGGTGCTAGCCTTCCCGGGCTGCATTCCGGGGAGGCTGCTGGAGTTTTCCAGATTAACTCCCACTAACTGGCTGCTGGCCTCGGAAGCAGCTCCGGTGCTGCAAGTGCTTCTACTTGGAAAAGTCACTGCCCTGGCTCCTGTGAACATGCAATACCTAAGCGGGGTGCAGAGGTGGGTTCTGGGGTCACACTGCCTGCATTCCTTCCGGGCTCTGCTCCCACCTGGGGCCCAGGAACAAGCATCTCTGAATCTCTGTTCACCAATGACCTCATGGCGCTCACTAGCGCAGATCGAGAACTGGGAAGTGCTCGAGAACTTCACCAAGATTCACTTGTTTCGCTTCCTCCTCACCCACCTCCTCTTCCTTCTGAAATATTCTGATGTGTAAGTTCGGTTTGTGTATTACCATGGTGACCGTTCGGCGGAGAAGAACGTGACAATGCCACAGGTGCACTGCGCACCGTCAGGATGGATGAATGAGAGGGTGGGACAGGGAGGAAAGGGGTGGCGGGGGGTGAGGGGGAGCAGTGACGAGTAGGAGCCTCTGACCCTGGCAGAGGAGTGCATGGGGCCTTGGATTTGTCACCAGGGGGTTTCTTTGCACAGCTATGGGCACCTTTAATGCCATGGAGACAGGGTGTCCCTTGGCTTGGCTCCGTGAGAGAAAAGGGGGGGAGAGAAGGACAGAATTTCCAGGTAGCCTCCCAGCCTACTCCCAGTGGCAAGAATGCTCGGGAAAAAACGGGAAAAAACGGACTTTCATGAGCTCCCCTCCTAGGCTGAATCTGCTCACTGTGGCCTCCAGATTTTCTTTCTCAGTCGGGGGCAGTTGAACCTACTGATACATCCGGGATCTATTGAGAGTGGGATGCAGTGGAAAAAAACAAACAAATGAGCTTCATATTCAGGCAGACGTGGGTCCAAATCCTGAAGCGGTGAGGCTCTGGCAGTTACTACGTCTCTGTGAACTGCGACGTCCTCACCCTCAAGTGGAGTGATACTCCTTATCTCCTGGAAATGACACACATGCCCTCGCTGAGTTTCTGCAGCACCTTACAAGGTCGGTGTTATTCTCCTGTCTAGTATACCAAGGCTCAGAGAGGTTCATCCCTTGCCTAAGGTCACACGGCACAGGGGGCCTTGGGGAAAGCCCGAGCTCTGAACCGCCCTGCTGTGCTGCCGGCCCGAAAGCCAAGGGCTGGGCCACTCTCACCCTTTCTCACCCTTTCGGCAGCCACTGAGCCGACCCAGACGCACCAAGCCCTCATCTTGGCAGCACGTGGCTCTTGACTTTCGAAGACGTGGCGTAGCAGCGAGACTCCCAGGAGCTCCTCTCTTGGCTGAGCTTCCTTTTGAGGGCCACAGGACACCAGCCTGATTAGAGAAATGCAAATTGCAGGCGCCAGGAGCCAGCCCTGCGTCCCCTGCAGACGGTGTGTGTGGTGGGGTGGGAGTGGACAGGAGCCCATTTCCGCAGGCGCTGGCGAGACTGCGGCAGCTGGTGTACTTGCAGAGGCCGCTGCCCGGGCCTGCGCGAGGATGAGTCGCTCGTCTGCCTTCGCAGAGGGCCGGCAGGCGAAGCTGCCACCCACAGTCACACACACGCTCGGCGTGAGCCACACTGGGGCCACCCCGGGAGGCGTTTTCCGCCCGCCCTCCCGCTCTCAAAGCCCTTTACTGAGAGACAAGCCCAACCAGGCCGGCCCCGCGGTGAGCGGGGGAGGCTCGCTGAAGTACGGTTTCTAGGCTCCACCTGCCGAAGCCGGAGTCGGGAGGTGTGGAAGGGCGAGGTGACGCTCTGGGGTGCTGGGTCGGTCAGCACTGATGGCGGCCCGCGCTCCTCTCACGCCGTCAGCAGGACAGACCCGGGCTCTGGCCGGCCGAGGCGCAGGGCAGAGTCCTTCTCGCTCCCGCCTGGGCCCTGCGCCGCGCACCCCGGGCACACGCAGAAGGCCACTGCCGCCTGCTGCCCCGGCTGTCCGAGCTTCTGAGCTGAGGGTCTGAACGAGCTCTGCTGCTCCCCACAGGAGCTGAGGGGGCTCCTGAGGGAGGCAAGGGGTGCAGCAGTCCTCTGCCCCCTCGGCGGGACGGCAACGCCGGTTCCGGCGCTGGCAGAGCGAGGACACCAGGAATGCGCAGAGGTTTCAGAGTGCGCTGTCTGGCGTTCGGAACGCGCTGGCGCACTGACGGCCCAGTGCTTCTCCCTCCCGTCAAGGCCCTTGGGCGGGGGAATTTGAACTCGTTGGCGCTGAAGAGCCGGCCTCTCTTTCCCTAGCTTGCATCCGGCCTGAATGCTGGACTCGCGGCGGCCAGCGACAGGCGGCCGGAGCTGGGCCAGTCCTGAGGCGGAACCTGCCGAGGCGGAGGGTGTGCTTCTGCCGACGCCCTCAGCCCAGCACTGCCGCCCCTCGACAAGCCCCTGCAGAGGAGCAGAGACAGCCGGGCCCTCCCGCGCCCTCCCGCGCCCTCCCGCGCCCTCCCGCGCCCAGCCACCGCGGATGCCGATGCGGCAGCAATCAGCAGAGCGGCCAGCTGAGCCCGGATCCCGACACTCAGCTGCTGCTCTACATGCTGACTTGGAGGATGGTTTGTTACACGGCAAGAGCTAACTGCACACTATCTGCTGCCTTGACCAAAAGAACTGAAACTCGCTCGCTTCCCACACTTCACACGTGGCCTAATTTTACGGTTGCACAAAGCTCACCTAACTCTATTCGATGCTCTCAACCATTCCACTCTCAACTGTTTTTTATACATTTAGCTCCTGGATAAACTTGATCAAGAGTTTCACTGCTAACACAAACACTGACATCGACTTGCTCATTTTCCAGATACCTGACGCTCAGAAGAGGGAAGGGACCTGCCGAGACACGTGTGTGGAGAGTGTGTGAGGAGCCAGAGAAACCAGCATCCACCCGCCTCGTGCACGGCTGACTGTACCGGCTTTGGGGCATCTAGAGAGGGCCACGGGGAGCCCCCACACAACCTGAGGGCGTGGCCCTTAGTCCTAACTCAGGCGAAGGCCCCTCCCAATGCCTCTCCCTAGGATACAGCAAAGGGCAGACTCCCACTTCTCGGGCTCCCGCCTGATTCTTCATTGCATGCATACACAATAGTCAAGTAACAAATACCCACCAGATGTCTCTATTAATAAATTGTAACTCCCCAAAGGAGTGGGATGATGCAAGTGCTGTCGGGCATGCAGGCTCAGGCTCGAAAGCATTAAACAGTGTTGCTGTGCAGAAAATTAAGCCTTTTTTTTTTCCTTTCTTCCCCCCTGCAGCCCCCACCCCACAGGATACCAACATAGACAGGTGTTAGCAGGAAACCTCTTTGCAGCTCCATGAATGAGATTTTAATGAACCCTAAAGGAAAGGATGTGGAAGAGGCGAAGCCAGAATGCAGACACTTTTTACATGCGCCTTGCAAGTATAAAGGCCCCTTTGGATGGAAGTGCTCCCCCAAACGAGTGGGTGCCGAGGGGCGCTCTGGCTCCTCCCCTCTGTGGAACGCTAAGGGGCTCTCAGGCCAGACTGAGCTCCACTCAGTTCTTCTAAGGCCCCGCACTCTTAGTCATACCTGGACTCTGCACATGCTGTCCTACCTGGAACTGCTGTGTCTTTTCCCTCTGCTCCTCCTTCACGTGATACCATTTATGCATCACTTCTCGCAGGAAGCTCTCGCAGCACAGCGCCCCAAGTTTGGGGGTGCGAGAGTCTGGCTGTGCTCCCACAGCCACTGTGCTCCTGCTGTCTGTTATAGCTCCTTGCGCCGGGGGCGGGCGTGATGGGGGTGCTCGCAAACCTCACTGCACATACACTCACCCTCTGACTCTGCCTGTTGTCAGCGATGAGCTCAGGTCTTGATACTAGTAGGCTCTTGGCACTTGTTAACGAAGCAAGGGAAGGAGGGCAGAAAGACGGGAGGGGTGGGGAGTGGGCATAGGCTCTGCCGTTTTACTTTCGGCCTCCAAGAAGGCTGTGAGGGCCGTGGGAGCCTCCAGAACCGCAGACTTCTCTCTCGCAATGTTCATAGTTGTCATCTGGCAACGCGCTACCACCCCTCGCTCACATCCTGCACACTGCACTGTGGTTCTCACGGAAAGCGGGTCTCACCGGCGCGTCTGACCAGCCAACATCTGGGACATTCAGATGGCCTTTGGCTCTCTGCTTATTCTAAACTCTCCCTTTATGACAGAGAAACTGAAGCATAGGGAATGTCCTCAGATCACCCAGATCAGTGTGTATCAGAGTGAAGTAAACACTGAGAGGGTTCTGGCCTGAGGATGGAGACCACAGATCTCCAGTCTCTGTGTGTCCAAGCTGCAGAAACACATCCTGTCCGGCAAACCTGGGGCTCGCACCTTTCTCGGACTTTGCCTGGTACAACACAATTTAGAGAGTTTTCCCAGGAAACCTCATTGGTCCCCCCCACCCTGGGAGAGGAGGGTCAGCATCGAACTCATTTTGCAACGGAGGTAGCCAAGGCTCACGAAGGTGAGGGCAGCTGACCGCCACAAGCACGCTGGCGGCCGGCCTTCGCTGGCACTGGGCAGCCTCCCACCGCAGGGAGGGTAAGAACGACGCCCTAGTTCTGCACGTGCTCAGTCTCCTTTGCAGCCGGACTGTTCACTACTGGCCCCTGCATGCAATCTGCCATGCATTAGGAAATGAATCCAATTTCAAAGGCAGAAGCTGTGCGCATTAGGAGTCAAAGACATTTCGCTGGGAAATAGGCTGCCCTCCCTGCGCCGACCCGGCCCGCCCATCGGGCCATGCCTCCCCCAAGCTCTGTCCTGCTCAGCATCATCTTTCATTAGTGAAAGCAGTTATTGAGTTAAGATTTTCTTTATCGAAGAATAATGTCCACCAGCAACAGGCTGCAGAAATGGGGTACAGTGGGCTATAAACTCACTGAAATCCCACAATTATTAACACTTAGCCTGAAGGCTCACCTAGGGAACATTTTGCTTCCTTTTATCAAGTTTCTTTTAAAAATGTCATAATCTGGGGCCTCCCTGGTGGCCTAGAGGCATCACCCCAATAGCCTACATCGAACCCCGGCCGGGGAGTGACCCCCATGACACAGCACAGTTTTCCTGTCTCGCCCGCTGCTCCCCTCAGCAGTGCATTCCAGTCAGTCTACCTGTTCTGCTCCCCAACTCTGTCTCTGGTGAATCCTCTCACCCCACACACCTCTGGCCTGTACCCCAGTTCTTGTCTGCAGAGGTAAATAAATAAAATCTTAAAATAAATAAGTAATCTGTTCCTCAAGGTGAGACACATCTCAAGACGTGTCTTGATAACTTATATTTTGTTGCGTTGTTGTTAGAGAAATAAAATCAGCTACTTGCATTTTTAATCATCTCTCTTTAAGGGCAAACCATCTTGGTTAGAAACGAGATAAAATTCAGTCTGTAGAAAAATAGAAGCATCGCCAGATACTCACTGTTCTTTATCACTGTCAGAAGGCGAGGAAAGGGGAGAAAGGAAAGTAAACAAAGTCAGAAATGAAATATCACAATAGCAACCCCGTCTGGATGCCACCCTCGTTTTGAATTGCAATGACCTACTTCCATGTTTTTGGTCATCAGGACCTTATCTTAGCAGTGGAGGCTTGCAGACCCCGCCGCTCTCACTGGAAGGCGGGTTGGCCTGGCCCGTACGTGACAGAGCTGGTCTCCTCTGGGTTTGAACGTGGGTCCCTTGCGCTGCGCCGCAGCAGGGCCGCCACCTCTCTGGTGTTGCTTCAAACATGGGGGTGGGGTCAAAGCACACTGTCCCCTGGACAGGGACATGGTCATCCAAAAGTAGAGCTGGCACCCCCGTTTGGGGGAGCAGCTTCTTCCACGCTGGGGAGGAGACCAGCACCCCACCGGCCAGCTGTGCACCCGTAAGCGTGTCGTGGGCTCTCCTTGCGCCCACGTTGCCACCTCCGACCTGTGGCCCGCAGACCTGAAGAGATGCCCGCTCTCAGAGACCAGCTTCTCAGCCAGCTGCTCCCAACACAGGCCAAACCACTGCCCGGCCAGCGCCCACAGCCCGCATGCACAATCCAAACCCTGCTCAAACACCTCCCTCAGTTTTAAGAGACGGAGAGGAGGAGGCATTTGAACATCACAAGAGCGCTGAGTGTATCTGGGCAGTGATGGTAAACGAAAACTGGTTTTCTTCATTTTCTGGAAGAAGACATTGGCAGCAAACCCACATTAGCACATCACCCCTGCAGCAGACCAGACAGGCTGGATGATGACTATCATTCACCCATTAGCATTTATTGGAAAATGATTTTAATATCTGCAGGAACTGCAGGAGCAATCAGGCCAGCCAGATGTGTGCAGAATGCCAAGATGTTCCACAGGGGCCCTGGAGCGCTTTAATGAAACTGTGTCCACACAGTTTAAATGATTCTGATTTAACTGTGAGGCAAATTGTTTGGCTTCGTATGGACTATAGTGAAGGCAGGTGGGTGGGATTTTAATTAACTGACATTTCTTAAATAAAACAAATATTTTACCCCATCCACCCTCCAGGTAACTGTTGATCTTACAGAGACACACTTTTTTGGCTGATGGAATATTCTAAGGTGGAGGGGGTCAAATACTTATCTTGGATGTAGGTATACATAAACATCAATAGATCTATACAGCAACAGATATATATTACATATGTATATAGTGTAAATTTATACACTATATATGTTAAAATGATCAAATTACACTTTAAATGTGTTTTACTGAAGACATACTACTAGACCATTATAGGGCAATTTTTTAAAAAAGTAACAAAGAAAATCCAAGTTGCTGTTGATCAGTGAGCCAATGCCTATGTCAGCACTGTGCTCAGAGGCTGACCTTGAGCTCCTAAAAGGCTGCAGAAACTGAGTCTGAGACACCCACACTCCACCCACCTCCCCACAGAGCCAGGACCCTCTAGGAGAAGAGCTCAAGCGATCCTGGGTGAACAGCAGCCCGACTCCTGACTCCTGGCAGAGGAAAATGCAAATCTCTAAAGAAAAAGATTCCTAAGGTAGAGCCCAGACTGAGACCCCAATAAAAAATTACCCTGGGTTCAAAGAAACCCATCCTTGTGGGTGAAATCTGCAGGGATGATAAACTACAGACTTGGCTGGGGAAGGACAGGAGACCTGGGTTTGCAAGTAGATGTTTAACAAATGAATCAGCATGGAAAGCTCACGTGGCTGATTCCAAGTTCCCACAGGAGGCCACTGAATGCAGAACTGGGAAGAAATACACAGAAGCAAGCCCTCGTGTAGCCTTCCGCCATCAACCACAACGGCTGTGCATAACGCAGACACACAATGCAGAGAACAAGAACATGTAGTAAAGTAGCTGAGAAGTGACTCACTTGAATATTTATGAAAATGAATACTCTAAAACTGATTTGTGATGTGGCTAAACATTTTAAGGACACCATTAATAAACTTGGTACGACGTCTGAATGACCTTACCTAGAATGATCAGAGAACAAATATTCTCATCACGTCTTCAGCGAATGTATCCCAAGTCATAAACTGACTCAACACAATTCAAAGAGCCAGTAACATGTTCTCTGACCACAGTGCAATTAATAACAAAAATAATCATAAATCAAGAGTGCTCCAACACTTGCCAAGCTTTGAAAGCACCTCTAAATATCTCCTGGAGTAAATGAAAGAAAGTTTCCATTACACTGAAATGAGAAATAATAAAAAATACTATACTACATATTGAAGCTTGTGGGGTAACTGGAATGTAAGACCATGTAATTACTAATGTAAGGAAAGAGTGCAGGTTTATGTTCATGAGGTAAGTACACAATCCAGGCAGGTAGAGCGTGTCAGAATAGCATCATTAAACAGAAACACACGTTCTTGCCCCCTTCGTTGGCAGGGCATTTTTGCCAATTCTTGGCAAAAAAAAAACCCAACTTTCCCTTTCAACCTCCTTTTTAACCTTCTGGTTATTTCAAGGAAAGAGTCTCTGTTGGTGATGGCCGGTCTTCACCACCCCGGCTTCACCCGCTGTGGCCCTTTTAGGAGAAATGGCAGAAAGGGGCTTGGGAGCCTGGGGAGGCCACAAATTGGAATTTAACGACGTCACTTTTCATTATATTTATCTTTACAGTTGCATTCGTTCACAGGGAGGTGAAGGATGATCCATTTACAACCTCCTAGGTCTCAAATGCCTTGTTAAATAAAGGTGTGGACATTTTGAGAGCAAGCTAGCAAGAACAATAGAGATGCTTCATAGATAAGATCATGCCGAAGGTAGGAACTCTGGTCTCCAGCAAGGAAGGTTTGCTGTTAAAGGCGCTGCTGGTGCACTGCGCAAGCCACAACCACTGGCAAATAACCTGCATTTATTCCTTCCCCCAAATAACCTATTCATAGCTGTTCTTTTTACCCAGAATTTAAACTCTGAAACTGGCTCTGAAATGCGATTCAACATAAACTCCACAGACGGTCACAGCTAAAGAAACTTGGAAACCGTCTATTCCATGGCATTCAACAGGGATGACGGCTAATATAAAGGAGGTCGGACTGAAGACACAACAGGGAACGGAGAGGACTGGACGATTAGAGAGCCCTGACGAAAAGGAAACTGGAGGCGACTTGCCGATCTAAAAGTACTAGCGGCTCTTCAGCTGCTGCTGAAGTATCAGCATGGGAGAACTTTGGCCCAGTGTCCAGGTTCTGACTTTGGAAAGGCGTCGCAGCACTGGGGCAGTCACATGAACTTTCCCGACTTTTGAATTATCGGTCCCCAAATGAAAAGCCTGCTGCTGCGGGTCAGGGTCCGCCGGAGGCCTGCCAATACGAGTTCCACTGTCGTACTGACTGACAGGAAACAGGAAAGGGGGAGAGATGCACCCCTGATCCTACAGTGAAGCAGCTCAGACCTAGAGCAGGCCCGAGTCCGGCTGCGGCCCAGGCCGGCCGCCCTGCGGTGGGCCGGAGAGCTCAGGCTGACCCTGTGGTCCCAACCTCCACAGAGCAGTGAGAGCCATGGAGACGCTCCCACCACTTCCTTCCCCCACACAAGAAGGAAATTCTGGGCCTCTCCTTACTGCTCCTCTGCTCCTTTGCGCACAGAAGCCCCACGACTGCTCCGACCCAAACCAGCCGCTGCTGGGGACGCGGCCACTTACCCGGGCTGCAGGGGCCGGGCGCTGGGGCACATCCAGCGGCTTGAGCTGTTGCTGAGGACTGTGTCTGTCATGGCGGAGGTGCAGCAGTTCTGGAAAACACCAACAGAGAGGCGTCACCCAGGCAGTCCGGCCACCCCTTCGTCCTTGAGGCCGAGCACCCCAGGGGGACAGGGGAGGAACGGGGGCGTCATCCCAAATCACCTCTCTACCTGCGGAACTCGGGCCCCAAAAGAGAAAGTGTCTAGTGGGAAGGGGCAGCTGCCAGGTGGCAGAAGTGGGCCCATGTGGACAGCTCCCCTCCGGTGGCCTTGCTGCTCCCTGTGGACACCGCCCTCCATCCAGAGCAGGGTGATCAGTTCCTAGCCCACAGCCCAGGGTGTTGCCACTGGCTCATGGCATCGGACCCATCAACCTGCCAACATGGACTTGACCAAGGAAGAAAAACACTTCTCGGTGCTGTGAGACCCCCAAATCCCCAAGTCTCCCATTGCTTTTTATTTGCTTGTTTGGAATTGTCTTCTCCCAAGCCATCAGAGAATCCTGTTGGCTTGTCTTAGGAAACGTTAGGTGATCTGTGACAAGAGGATTCCTCCAAAAATAACAATAAGCTACATAAATAAATATATAAACAAAATGCAGATAGGGAAGGGGTCATAAAAAATGAGTAAAACAACTTTTTTTTTTAAAGATTTATTTATTTGTGCATACAGAACTGGGGTACAGGCCAGAGGCTCAGAGGCAAGAGGCTTCACTAGAGACAGAGCGGGGAGCAGAACAGGCAGATCGACGAAGTCCACTGCTGAGGGGAGCAGCGGGCGGGTCAGGAGAGGTCTGCCGCGCCCTGTGGTCACCTCCGGGGCAGGTGGGGGTCGGACTCACGCGGAAGCGGCTTTAGATTCTCAGTGCAGTGCTTTAACCCGCTGCGCCCCCAGGGAGGGCCAAAACAGCTTTTAAAGACCCAACTTCTTAACTTTAAAAGACAAACAAGTCTGACCCATGGGGTAGGCGGGTTTGAGTCCCGCCCTGATGTCCTCTACCAGGTATCTTTGCCCATTTCTTTTTTTTTTTTAATTAATTTATTTTTTATAATATGATAGTTTATTTTTACCTCATTTTGTACTTTTTTTTTTTTTCATCTCAATTGTAATCCCTGTGGGCTTCCCATGACCGAGTCACCCGTTCAACATGGATAAATCTTAAAGACATTCTGCTAAGAGGTTCTCCACCAGAGGATGGGTGGGGGGACTATGAGGTGACGGTTAAGGCATGTAGGGTTTCTGTGGGGGGTAATGAGAATGTTCTAGAACTGACTAAGGTAATAGTTGTGCAGCTCCAAGAATCCACTAAAAATTATCAAATGGCTGAACTGTATGATGTGTAAATTATAGCTCAGGAAAGTCGTGTACACTGGTGCCACCACTATGGAAAACTGGCAGATCTATTAGATTTAAATATTCAGCTGCTCTATAGCTTAGGAATTCTGCTCTTAAGTAGATCCCCCATGAAAGCGCTCATGTTCTAAGGCACAGCTGAGGATGTTTGCAGCGTCTTTATAGCAGCTAAAACCTGCAAACAGGCCAAATGCCCCACAGGAGCGAGGATGAAGAACTCGCCATCTATTGGCACGCTGGGGGGCTGGTCAGCGATAAAAGACAAACTGCGGTGTAGATGACAGTAAAGAGGCATTTCAGAGACTGTGTGTGATCCACGGGGGGCCAGGAGCAAAAGAGAATACTCTACTTGCTGGTCTTCATATGAAGCCAAAGACAGACAAAGCTGTGGGATGGAGGTAAAAATCAGAGGCCATCCGTGGCTAACTGAGGGAGGCAGTGAACCCGGGAGGCAGCTCCCTGCCCACCCTGCAGCCTGTGCAATTAGCAAATCTTCCGTGGAGGCAGCCAGAGGGGCTGCCGGTTGGGCCTGTGGGAGACAAGACCCCTGACAGAAAAGCCATTTCGCTGCTCCCACACAGTGACTAATCTGCCCAGGGGAACAGGCCCAGTTCACTGGTTCCACTTCAAAAAGGGAAAGGAAGGAGGGCGCTCCCGGCGGCACGGGCGAAAGCAGAGCGGGGCGAAGCCGGCCTGCTGGCGGCTCTCCATGGGCCGCAGACCCTGATCCCGGAGGTGACCCCAGGGCGCGGCGGACCCCTCCTGGCCCGCCCGCTGCTCCCCTCGGCGGTGTCCTTCGCTGATCCGCCTGTTCTGCGCCCCGCCGTCTCTGGTGAGGCCTCTCACACACCCACCCCTCCACCTCTGCCCCACTTCTATATGCATAAATAAATAAATCTTTCTTTTTAAAGGGAGAGGAAGGAGACACCGCTGCTGCTGTGCTGGCTTCTACCTGCTGGGGACCCTGATGGCTCCTCTGTGCCAAGATCTGAGCGTGCAGCTGCCCTGGGACCCCAGTGCCCTGCCCCCCCCCACACACAGTGCTGGGCGCGGAAAATCAGCCCCAAGTGACAATTTCCCGGATCCCTGGTCCGCGTGGAATGCTCCTTTGTGGAGATGAGACAGGCCCTGGGGGGCCTGGGGGTGCAGGCTGGGGCAAGCGAGAGGTCCCTCAGTGCTGGTGCTGGCCGAGGCAGGGCCTGCCCAGCCTGCCCCACCCCACACTGTCACGCACCCGGAGTTCATTCCTAGTGGAATCCCAACAGCAAGGTCCAGACTTGCGGGCTGGCTGCCAGCGGAAACCACCCGCTCTGCCGTCCACGCCAGAGGCCACACTGGACAGTGCTGGTCACGGCAGCAAAGCACTTAACAGCCCTGGAGTGGACCCCTGGCCCTGCCTGCTCCTGGGGTGGCGATACGGGGGTAACAGCTAATTCTGCAGATGCCTTTCACGGGTGCACCCACCACCACCCACCCCTGTGCAGTACCCAGGGGCATTAGCAGCCAGAGCCGCACGCGGGTCCGTGTTCCCGAGAGCCGGCTTCACCCAACAGACAGCTGCTGCCGAAGATACGGGAGGCCTCGCCCCTCCTGGGGGTGGGGGGCTCTCAGCCAACGACTCACTGATAAGAGGAAGCACCACGCCCAGCCCCGTGGGTCAAGGTGGCGCAGCTTGGGGCCAGCACCCTCCTGAGCTCCCAACGGTCCGCGGGGCCACACCTCTGCCCAGGGTCCTCTACCGTCTTGTCCGGCACCATCTGCCCCAGGGTCCTCCCAGGGTCCTCCTGGGAGCACTCCCTGAGTCCCAAACTAGCGCAAAAGGCTCATCTGAGCTTCTGCTTCTAGTGAACTTGACCTTGTGTGCGAGGGAAGGAGGACCACAGGAAGGGGCTCCCGGGCCCTGCATCCCTTCCGTCACACGGGCAAGTCGCGTCCATGTCCTGCCCACGGCCTCCCTCTGCCTTCAGCCGACGCTCGCTCAAGTTCGAGGGTGTTGTGAGGAGGCGGCCCCATGCCCCCCACTGCCACTGCCCGCTGCAGAGACGGCGGCTCCTCATGACGGGCCCCGGGGCCGCCAGAGCCCGGGGGGTGTCTGAGGGCTGCCCGGGATGTGGGCCTCCGCTGGGCAGAAGCTGGGCAGAGCTGAAGCCAAAGCTCCCGCCCTGGCACTAGCGGTCACTTGCTTTCTCCGCTGCCCCTGGGCTGCGACTGCCCCCAGCAACCTGATGGGCAGGTCTTGCACACCTACGCTGGCC